CACCAATATAACATGTCAGTATATACCACCAATATAACATGTCAGTATCTACCACCAATATAACATGTCAGTATCTACACCAATATAACATGTCAGTATCTACCACCAATATAACATGTCATTATCTACCACCAATATAACATGTTGATTGTAGACGTAAAATTTTAGTTCTGATGACCAATTTTTTTTTTATGTCATACATAATGCTGTGTCAATTGAATATGATAATTTACAAGTTTAACAAAATCTGGAGATGCTGTGATTTGTCAAAACAGTGATAACATATAACACTACAGGTACTTTAAATAGATTTCAATGTTTCTGCTATCAAATTAATTGGAAATATTTATTTTGTCATTATTTGTAATGCATTTAAAACTGTTCATTATTAAAATCAAATCTGGAATGACTTTGCACTGCACAGATACTATACAATACTATGGTCTCCGTACTTAGGTTGATCTATGTAGTCAGCTAATAACACATAATTGTATTTGAAGGATTTCTTAAAACTATAAACAATATTTGATAAATATAATCATACATTTGTGTCCATGTCATATTTAATTTATTACTACATTATGTAGTTCAATAATTTGATATGACATAAGCATATGAGACTTTGATAAATTCAATATGACATGGACATGAATGCACGATCCTCCATATATATACCACAGGAAACTGTGCTTATGAACAAGTTATCTAGTTTGTTTTGGGACAACAATCCATTTCCATTATCTGCTCCATGTGAATCGGCCTAATTCTTCGTCATTCTCAAGTCTGACTTGTCACTATAGCTGTTTTATCTGTTTCTACGTATGTTGTTCTTTTCCTGTCGAACTTTTCTATATTTATACACTTCTGCTGATCAAGGTTTGATAAATAAACAAGATGTTTGTAAACAACTACAAATGTCTCCACAGATGTTTGTGTTGTGTTCGCAGTCGTGAAAATTACATATGAGCCTTAAAACAAACGAGCGTAGATCACCTGTCATTAACAGGGACAGCTATGTTGTATTGCCAAACGTGAACGGAAGGTGGCAGAATATCGGTGTTATACTGAACATGTATCGCCGATGTTGTTTCGACTGTCATATCACTTTACGTAGACAAAACCGTGACTCGATCGTCATCATCAGACAAGTTTGTAATCTTGACTTCATGCATTGTTGAAGCTGTGCGACATAGCATCAAGAAAAACACAACTAAATTATAAAATTTATTATTTTATTTTTTTGTTCATTTTAATAATATAATGTTGTATTTACACCAACTTAATGTTAAAATCTTTTGTACAGTCTGTTTTTATTTTAATTGACTCACATCTTTGAAATAGTGTACAGAAAAATATCCTCCAATTTTGTATCTGCCTTATGATAAATGCATAGAACAAGAGGCACATAACCTGACACAGCGCCAAACCTCTCAACATTCAGGGCCCCGTGTCATCACAATATATACATATAAATATCACTTTGTGTACGAATCCTCCCAGAACATGCCTTAGATACTGCAAAAATACTTCTGCTTTGAGAGGGATATTAATTTTTGAGTCAATTTATGATACTGTATAACATGAAATATTTGGGGGTACTTTCTTTGGTGGTTTGACAGGTCTAAACTATTTTATTAAATCAAAATTACTAATACAGTTTGATTGAACTTTGGTCATTAAAAAAAAGTTTGACAGCAGCTTTGAAAATCTTCAAATATAAATACACTAATGATTTATGTTACACAGTATACAATAATGCATATCTTGTGAATCTCAATCACAAATTAAATCACCTGGTGGTCTTCTGAACTTTTCCCCCAACTTTATTTGACTTTGGAAATTCAGTTTTTTTGGTATTTCTTTCACATTTCTAAATAATAAAACTAAAATTAATAAAGAGTGTTTTCCCTAATAAATTATAATTTGAGATCACAGGTCAAAAATCTTTTTAAAAATATGTGATTCGATACGATTATTGTTATTGCGTTATTTCTCTACACTAGACGTGGTTGCAATTAACATTGATCAGATAGTAACACCATCACAAAATCTTTGAAATAATTCGGTGGAAAGAGTACTTATGTAACAAACATTCAACATTTGATTGGCAATATGATAAAAGAGAGGTCACGACCTCCTAAACAGCACTTTGATTTTTAAATTACATCAGTTCTTTATACAAATCATTTAATTCAATCAATGATATAAATGACTATGGTAAACAATTGGAGACACAAATTGAGAGAAATGTTAAAGAGAAAATCTAACAAAATGTATTTGGTATACCTTAGATTCTCAGAAAAAAAATCCAACTTATTTTCAATCTGAATTAATCCTTCAATACTAAGGCACTGTAAGGACAGATAACCCGTAACCAACTGAGGGTACGTGCTGAAATACAGATGCGATAAAATAATGATCAAAAACTTCGGGAAATTAAAAAGAAATACTGTTAAAAATAAATAATAATATTTCTTTCCGGCTCAAACTACAATTATTGCAAAAAATGTTCGGTCTGAGAATTTTAAATAAAACAAATATTTTATGTGTATATTTAATTACAAATTGTTTTTCTAACCAAAATTCACAATTACCAATAAAATAATAGAATGACAGTTTTTCATATCAGAATTCAAACAGCATTTTGGTTTGGTATTCAAAACAATACCTCATACTAGCATGTTTTTATCAAGTTTAATGTTTCGAATTGAAATCTTTTCTGTTGTAAATGTATAAACATATCTAAAACCTTCTCACGTTCTACCTTAATATCAGTTAGCTAAATAAACAGTATCTAAATCATAATCTAAGACTGCTCCTGTCAATGGAAAGTAGATTTTCATTTTTGTAAAATCTGCTTAATATTAAAAGATAAAACCAACAAAAACTAACCATAAAAGGAATGACCAACAAAAAAAATTAAATAACTAACATGAAAAAAACATTATAGCACAAGATCTCAAAAAACTTTTGTGAACACATTGGTATTATAATTATCATTTACTGAACAAACTAAAAACACAAGCCTTTCACAGATCAAAACACTTCCTTTGTGTAAGTCATGAAAAAGGGAGTTTCCTTTCCTTGTAAAATATTACACAATACAAGAGGTATCTCCTCTTTGTATGTGTTAGAACACATCAACAACAGAATCGTCTGTGTTTCTGTTTAGAAAAAAATCACCAGTCTTTGTGTAAGAAAAGTGTCAATGAAATACATCTCTAATCATATACATGCACGCTATCATTCCAAAATTTGCATTCGATAGGTTTCAAGTTTTCAAGTTTTGTATTTGATACCCCACCAACCTTTTTAACTCATTCACCCCTGATGAAGACACATTTGAACTCTTCCAAATTAAAGGTTGGAAAACTTCATTATGAAATTTCAGGGGTGAATGTGATTAAAGGCTGAACTACCTACAGACTAAGTACACCTGCTTGTGTGTCACTGACCCAGACATAGGTACATTAAAACTCACATTTTATTTTATCTTCCACAGCAATATACAAAACTGTGAATTTAGTTCGTATTTAGCATACAATTTATCACAAGGATCCTATTTCAATGAAAAGTTGTGAAAAGTGTTAAAGAGACCTCCACAGTGTATTACTGTAGCCATATAGTTTGTTAATTCTACTTCAATCTGTGAAAAACTGCTCAAGAGAGCTACTGTAACTTAAATGTTTTTCTTGAATGCAAGACTTTGGCTGAAAATCTCAATTTCAAAAACAAGTATATAAAAAAATAAAAATTATAATGGATAATGCACTTTTTCGGATAACAAGAGAAATGTTTTGACTTCATAACGTTACTGATAGATGAAAAACCATGAAAATGATTGGGCAATGGATTTGATTTTGATTTTATTAAAATGTGATAATGAAACGCCAATTTGTGATACACAATATCTGGTGTTTAAAAATGTGACAAAGATGATGTACGGAGAACAAGTCTTTAACAACTTCTATGGACATTACGATATTGTGGAGATACATCCTCGCCTTTTTTAACATTTCAATAAAATGATTTATATATTGTTAAAGATTTCAATGTCAATGCTTCAAGCAATCTGCCATCCTGACAATTTCAGAAGAATTGTGTTCTTTGATATCCATATCTTTTTCTCTTTAATGTGAAGAATTGATTGAACATTTTTTTTTATTTTACTTCTAAAACATTAACATTAGAGTGAGCATGTATCTCCAAAAGTCATTATGTCTGTGGGATAAAAGGTCAAGACACATGAAAAGGTCAAATGCCACAAGGAGGGAGGGGAGATAAGCAAGGCACCATACTTATTGCAACATAATTGTTTTTAACAAATAAAAGGCAGATTTTTAAGATATCCAATCTTTCAGTTTTTCACTCAAACTGAAAAGCATATCAACAATAGTATTAAAATATTGAAAATATGACTTTGATATATATATAAATTTAATCATTTAATGTAACAAGATTAACATACAATTTGTACACATATTTGAAATAATAGCTGCAGTGATGCATTATGGGAGAGTCTTGTGAGGCCCCCAAAGAGATAAATCACATTTAATTCACCTTGATAACAATACAAAGTACAACAGTAAGTCTGGACTCAGTGAAAGAAACATCGCTTCTAAACTGATCAATTACATCCAAACATAACAACTAGGACAAATAGTATTAAATAAATTTGTTTCATTTCTAAGAAACAAATGTACTGAGAAGGATTGCCCCTCCCACTTTTGTGAGATCATTCTCTAGGAAACACATCAGCCTCGACTTGGGCAAATTCTTGATGCCCTCTGCCTCAACTTTTCAGTCCATTCCCTCACTAGCTTTTTCTGTTCATCACAAAAACGGCCAATGTCTGATAACTTCTCCTACAGCTGGTGGTCATACATAACCATTGCTTTCAAGAAAATACATTCAGACTTGTTGCTGTTCTACAAAGGACCATTTAAAATGGACACCAGTCTCAAATCTTTCTCCACCAGACCATTGCCCCGGCCAGTCTACACAGTTCTAAGCTATTCCTGTTCATTCTCCACAAAGGCTTCGCCCACTCAAGAGATTGTGCGCATTCACTTTGTCCATGTAAAAGTAGAATGCTGGCCTTTTTTCAAAGCAAGGATTACCTCCTCTTCTTCAGCGCTCTTCCTTCGTCCATCAAAGGAACAAACAGGTCTGACTATAGTCATACAGGTCATGGAGCTGACCAATCACAGAAAGGCTTGTTAACTGCCTTAGCTTCTGACCTTTGACCTTGGCCATAATACAGGTCACTGATAAAGCAGTAGACCATTTTGGGAACAATTTCAATTCAAAGCCTCTTGATAACTTTGACTAGCTCACTCATCATCCTTGTCTACCTGAGGCTTGATATCACAGGCCTCGAACAGCTCCTCAGGGGTATAACCTAGAAGACTCTGCAGATCACAAACAAATCGGTAGACGTAGCGCTTCCCCGCTGTCTTGTGGATGATGTGTTTGTCATAGTAATATCTCAGTCCTCGACTCAGCTTCTCATAGTTCATTTTCGGCTTGTTTTTACGAATTCCCCATCGCCGGGCGACCTCATCAGGGTCGGAGAGTTTGAATTCCCATCCGTCTCCGGTCCAGCTGATGAAATGTTCACAGGACTTGTCCGTCAGTAACTCCAGCAAAAATTGCCACAGCTGGATAGGGCCACTCCCTGAAATAGAAAAACAGCATTCATTAAATTATGATAAAAAGGTGCACTTTCTGCTACTTGTTAGCTTACAGATCATACAATTTTGCTTTTACTCATAATATTTAATATTAAAAGGAATTTTCTCTATAGACTTTATTTTTTTTAACTCCAGTTGACACAGGATTTATCTCCCCTTCCACAATGCCCACACTCACCAGAGTAACCGGCCAGGGCAGCAGCCTGAATCATGGGTTTCCCTTCACAGTAGACATTGGTCGGGGATGACTGGAGTGACCGATACCCACTGGACAGACTTGACCGAAGGTCATTGGACTGCCAGCTCTCGTTACAGTCCTGACCAGCGCAGTCCTGTGGTGACCAGGGGCACTCCTGCTTGATGCTTGGTACTGTGTGGAACGTCTGTTGGTCGTAGTAATTGTCGTGAGGAAGGCTGTCCTGTCGAATGTACTGATCTACGAAAACAAAAACAAAACCATCCAGTTAATATTTAGGTCTCTGCTGATTCGATTCTGAATCTTTAAAAATGCCGACAGGATTCTAGAATGCTGAATACCAGAACTATTCCTAAAATTCTGGTATTTAACAGTAAATATTGTTCATTATTTCCAATTTACATCCATCTATCTACAATGATACACCACCCAATAATATATTATCTAAAACTAACATGTGGTTTTATACTTCTGTTTATTATAACTGATTTAGACTTCTAAATTTGTGAATATTCATGAGCTAATTAAATATCCTAACAGAGGATTTCAAGCTAAAAATAATTCTTGCTTGCTCTTTTAAAAAATATCTTCTGGCTACCTAGACTATGTCAGTGTCAGTACCAGTAGACAGATGGATTAAACAGAGAGCAGTGTAAACCTTCTCTAAATCCCTGGATCATCTCCCGACTCTAAATCCTCTCCAAGGCCTTAACGGGGCTCCCCAGAGGGAAACCACACACAAATAGTTCAACTTGAAACAAGTTGTCATAAACAGGATCAAATTCGAATGAAAAACAGGAAAAGTTAACTTATGAAAAAAGCTCTCTGATCAAAAACAAATAATATCATGACAATGAGATGAAATATTAAGAATCAATAAAGTAAGCGCCATTTTTTTTCTTAAAACCCTGCAGCGGGCCCCGTGATAACTTACAGATGCAGGTTTTTACAAATTGTTTTGATCATTAACCAACTCCACACCAACTGACTGGGCTGGAGGGGGATAAACACTGTGGCAGTGTGTATGGTCCCCCTCCCACACATCAAACATATCACAGGACTTAGCACTAGGCCAGTCCATGGTAACTTCCCCTCAGTTTTGAGTACCAGTAAGTCGGCTAATAATGTTGGTAACAGTTCCCTCTCTGCTTATCAACAACTGAATATCCTTTCTTGGTATCTATATTTTTAATATTCATACACAATTTTAAACCACCTATTCCAATAATAACTAATATTGTTTAATAAATTGAATTTATATGCTTTTTACAGAAACCTATAAATCAGTTAATGTATTTATTTAACTTAAAACAAGCTTTTCAATCAATTATGACAAATCTTCTTTACTGATGATAATTTGTCATAAAGATAAACAGAAAACCCTGTCTAATCTGATAACTTGGTATTCTGACACACTGTATAATCCAACATCATGCTGTTATTCCATTTCTCCCATAACCTATCTAACAAGACCTGTGTATACTGCCATCTGATCCGATCCCAGTGATACCTTAGTCTCCCAAAAGGTGTCAGAATAGACAGGGGTCATTGTATTTGTTTTCACCAAAACCTTGGGTGATGGTGTTAGCCATTAACCCCCCTCCCCATTTCCAGTGCCCCCCTCCCCACAGCTGTACCTGTATACTGAGCTTTAACCTTCCAGTAACCATAGAAGCATCAATCTGGCTATTAATCTCTCCATTCCTGTATAAACCATAGACCACGTAGGACTGCTAACATTATATACCAATGAAACAGAACATCTGAATCTAAAACTCCTCCCGCCTTCTCAGGTTTCTTGGCCTGTTTCAATAATTTTAAATCATTTCCCCCATCATGTTTAGGCAGATTTTTTACAAGTCTCAACTTCATAACATTTACAAAACTCTACGAGACTTCTTCATATTTTTTCGAAAGCTTTTATCAACCAAGTTTTGACCCAAGACTTCTTTATCATCCGAAAGCCTAAAATAGAAAAGTGGAGATATACTATATCGCTAGATTTAATAAAATTCTTGCCACTCCTCCAATTCTTGCCTCTCACTCACAGCTAACGAGAAACATATTGAATGAAATATTCCAGAATAATTTTGATTTTTAAAACATGAACCAGATGTGGATATAGGTGACCCCTGACCCCCATATGCCAATGTTTGACCTTTTGGCCCTACCATAAAACCCCTGTGAAGTATTTATCTGACGTCATGCTGCACTTACATGTTTTTTCAGCCAATTGTCTAATTTCCCTGGCATTTTTTTTAAAAAATATTGCAAATAACATTTGCCTTAATGTTAAACCAGGTCCAGAAAAGTTTTATTTATCACAAAAAAATCAGTTCTCGTTACATTTTCACATCATGATTTGAAATTCTACGCAACAGTTTTCGTATAAGCAAAATGTGTCATTATCAGACAATAATCAACATAAAAAGATTTGTTTAACACTGTATTCTTGACAAATTGTCTACAATTTTTATAAAATATTTCTATTTGATATACACACACACATGTATTTGTATATGTATATATATGATGGCCTTATTAACTGAGAAAAAATCATTGTGGACGTATTTGGGACACAAGAAGTTGATTCATTATGCAAGCAAATGCATTATGATGTAAGAATGAACCAGATTTAAAGGAAACCCTTTAGATTTGATGACTTGTAGGTGACACCTTGACATTTGCGTGGTTATTTCCTGAAGAGTCCACATTGCATTATTATTTATAGTTAATTATGTTTAACTTCAAGAAGCATTTTTATAGGATTGCGAAGGATTTGAACTTTTTACAATAAAATATGTTTAAACTAAAGGATTGCTAATTATCAACAGAATTTTATAAGATATAAAAATTTGAAACTAAAAAAAAAAATAGATCCATAAAAAATTAGGATAAAAAGTATACAGATAAATCTTATGTTCTTAAGAAAATGAACTTACTTCGACACAAGTTCTCAGGGGGTGGAATAGTTGGGCGGTATTTCTGCTCTGGAATTATGGGATAGAATTCAGGGCTGTGGTCATAGTAACTGTTGTGCTCCAATCGCTGGTAATCTGAGGAATCGTCAAAACTGTTGCCATTGATAATGTTGTCGCCATTGACATCGTTCAATGCCTGCATAGACTCGCTGATTTGGCCATAAGTACCTAAGGATGGGGTAAAAAATAAATAAAATAAATTCTCAAACACATCAAAACATGTCTCATCGTCAGAAAATTTTGATAAGAGTCGGAAATAATAAGTCAAAAATCCTGAGATACATACAATCAGTCTGAAAGATGTGTTAAATGATAAGCTTGACCTTATATCAAACAGTGTCATTTTATTTCATCATCAACAACTTTTTTGATGGAACATGTATTGTTTATTTCGTAAGATACCGTGTACATGAACTGCCAAGAATATGAATGTTAATTACACTTTTTCCTGGGGCAATGTCACGGCCCATTTACAAACAAATTATTCTGCAGAGATGATTAATGAGCCTTATGAAAAAGATGATGGCCCACAACTTACATTTACTTTCAAGGTATCCCTGACTTGCTGAGGGTTGAGAGGTGGGAATCTTACTGTCACTTCGGGTATAACCTGAATAATACAACAATATCATATTAGTTACAACAATCTGTTAAATATTAAAATTTAGCCAAAAGCAAATTACCATTGGACATTAGGCTTTATTTGTACTACGCAGAAGATGTCCTATATCAACATGAATGTTTAACATAAAATTTGAATTGTTGATTTCTTTTTAAATATTTTATTACAACAATCATGCCAACCAAACATATATAAGTACAGGTATATTAAACAAATTGGCTAAGAAATTCGAAACAAAACATGATATAAAATGTTATGTGGTTTCCCCAACCAGGAGAAGTAATGGCACAAGTGATACATTTATAAACGTCAGCATGCTATACTTATATATATACAAAACATCCACTGTGTTCACTCATGCGTGCAGGAGACATGATTTTTATTACAAGTTTTTTTCTGTCATATGAAGGAGATTTACCTTGTTGCAGGAAGTGTTCACCAAAGTCGGGCATGCAAACAGGCTCACTATAATTGGGCGGGACATTGCACAGTGACGCCCTCTCTTGGGCAACCTCTGAAAAGGGGAACAACTTTGTTAGAACTGTTTTTCTAAAAATGTGAAAATTTCATCTTTGACTTGAAATATCCTTGTGCATGTCCTGAACTAGTATTCATGTCAAAACCATTTTTGTTGTGAGCGTGATTTGCACTTATTTTGTGTGAGAAGACAAGAGTTGACATGCCAGGCAAAAACAATGCAAACATTGGATTCACTCAAAACCCTTCACAATATATAATCATGCTTTACTAGTACATAACAGTTACAAAACAGAACAAAATCTCTAATCTTTCCATTTGTTTTGTGAAGTAAAATATCAATAATCCTTGATTTAGTCAGACAGTCTACACCCAACTAACATGCATCTTCAACAAATCATTTCTATGCTTGCCTACGTGTACTTCTAGTTAAACGAACTCACAAATTCTTTCCTGTCTACTTTCCAATAAAATGTCCAAAATATTTTCCCTGTTATCACAAACAATATGAATATGTGAAAACCCCTCCCCTTATTTACTACAGGTTTTTTGTGTCTGTACTTTCCTTATCCTACCTTTTAACCTCAAGATAAAGTGTCCTAATCCCAGCTTTACATCCTCCATCACTAACTCAACCCCTTACAACCTACCACCCATCTGCCCTACCCCACCCCCTAACAACAAGCCACACCCACCTTTCTGAAGCTCCTGTAAGTGTTCCCAAAGGATGTCACCCATGTAGGGTGGTGCCAACTTCAGGAACTCGTCTTTGCCATTCTTGATCATCTGTTGACCATTGATGGCGAAGTTGCCCATACTGATTCCCTGGACGTTGAATTCCTTGACCGCCCACTGTAGCCACTGAACAACCTGAATCTCGCTCCACTGGATGGGATCTAAAAACAACAAAAGTAGGTCAATGAAATAAAAAGTAGGTCGATGAACCTTATATTTTTGCAAAAAATGGTACCTGGTATTTATGTTTTGTTGTTTTTAAAGTAATATTTTGAAACATTTCAAAACTCCATAAGAGAAATGAGAAAACTTTATCTCTGTTAAGAATTTTAAGAAACTGTAACATTTGAATATTAGCTGTAGGGAATCGTAAAATCTTTTCTATACTCTAAAATTAAAATGTTCAAATCACTGCATTTTACATTACCAAAGTATCCAAAGTCAATTTAAAGAGTATCTGTGTACATCAGTGAAAGATGATACTCCCTTACTATCACAATACTCATCAATAATTTCTACTTGTGGTAAAAACCTCTTCACGGGAATCTCTTTAAATATTCCCACTGAGTTTACAGATCTGATAAATGTAATGGCAATGCACATTGCATTCTGTACAAAACACCTACGCCAAGTAAAACTTCAGTAAAATAATACTTACAGTGTTCAAACATTCTAGAAACTAATCTGACAGATGCAGGTAAAATGTTCAGGTAAACCAGTGATCCTGCGTAGGTATCAATTTGAGCTTTAATCAAGTGTAGACCAGCACCTGTACTTTATACCTGCGCTGAGCGATCACTTCAAGTGTTTTAACTAATTACTCCTTAACGTAATTTAAATGCAATCTGATGTTGCAGGTAGCACACGTCTATGATGTCCGTCCCTAAGGAGAATCAAACGTATGAGCGTCTATGATTCTGTGTCGCTGATAACTTTGTCAGGCGAAGCCATACAGCTAACAGACAGCCTTCACCGGTCTCTCTCAAACACTTATCCGTAATTGTCCCTCGTCACAAGGGAATTTACACGGCGTCACAATAAAATGGCGTGTTAATTTTTAAAAACAAATCTGAAAGACCTATTTAGCGATAATTATTTTGGCCATTAAGCCCCGTGATTTGCTAAACACATCGGGCTATCACTGTCGATTACGGATATTACATTCACATGATTTGTGTTCAATTTTAACCAAATTGGATGATGAACAGTAGACCGAGGTGTTTTAAAACAATTATTTTGATTCAAAATCATAGCACTATATACAGAATTAAAGGTTACTGTTGTAACGGAGAGGGTCATTTTAATATTGAAAGTGCCAGTATAGGCCGCCTGTACAGTGCGGAGCAGATCAGCCATTGGTAAATTACTCATTAGTTAGAAGAGCAAGCACCTGCCACGATGGCCGCTCGACCAGCGGCCACTGAGGTATTATATATACCGAACTCACCAAATATCACACTTGGCAAGTGACAGATGGTCTAATTAGTCAATTTTTCAAAATTATATTTGTCATTTTTAGTACTTTCTGAATGCTTCAATTTTCCCATCACTGCATCCCAATTTCATAAATATTTGTCCAATTAAAATCACCATGGCAAATTTTCTTGTCAAATTTATTCATTTTATTAAATATCTATTGTTGTTATTAATTGGTTTTAATTTCATCTAATTCATCATTAATTTTCCTAATTAACTTCTCCTTTTTTCACATACCAATTCATTAAATCACTTGACTCGATTAGAATTTTATCCCATCTACTGCTTGCTTCTCTAGATCTCCGGATTTATACTGTCATTGTTTAGTTTAGCAAATTATCCATCTGAACTATCTATAAAGAAGCATACATACCTTTTGGAATATTGTATTTTTGCATGTCTATGTCGAAGCTTTTGAAGCACTCGAGGAAGGCCTGCGACACCTTCTGGTTGGATCCCGGGGTGAGAGGGGGAACCTGGGGGGTCTGAGGAATGTCTACAAAACACACAAAAAGGAAATTGTCATAAGTACAGCAAACAGAATAATTCTGGCAAGTGTATTCCTAAAATCCTGAACAAAAGGTCCATGCCAAAGTCCAGAATCTGTTAAAGTAGATAAAATGATATTTAAAACAGATACAAAACTGCAAAGTTTCAACTACTTGTTTTTAGGTAAGTATAACCTTTTACCTGTAAAACTGAAAGATTCATCTGCTCCAAACAACACAAAACATTCTCAAAATATAAACACATTCTTAGAAACGAAAGGGCGTATGCTCAATCCAGTTCACTTTTGGAACCAATGACATACAACTACCAGTATTTAACACGCATTAACGTAGGATACATCATCACTGCATACAGACACACACACTTAATCTGAACTCTTTTGTGAAGGGAGACACAAAAAAGTCCAGACACGATTTTAACTGGGTTTATCTATTCTGGTAGAATGCTAATCGTTGGTTAATTAAGATAAGTTATCTCATCTTTAAATTGTATAATTTCAATTTACACATTAAAGTAAGTGAGGACTATCTCTACATGGCACCTACGCTTGCCCTCTAATCCGCTGATGAGTCTGAAATCGGATTCCTACCTATCATCTCAGTTGATTAGAGTTATCTGCCCAACTGGTTCCTGGCTTGCCCTCACTCTCTTATAACAATGTATGTTCTCCAAGATCAAGCAAGGTTAAAACAACTGAAAGGGACCGGAGAACTCTCGTTGAAATCTTAATCCACCCAGGCCTAACCTCCAGCTTGGTTATCCATGAACGTACATGGAAAAATGGCAAATAAAAAAGCTTCTTTTTACTTGTTGTTAGCCAAGATGAGCATATTACATTGCCTACCGATGAATGTTTCCGTATGCAAAGGCAAATTTTTTATACAAGTGCAGACAAAGGTAGTAATATCTTCACACACAAAAAACGAAGAATACACAAATGAAGAGCTCTCCTTCTTAACAACGCAATGTTAAGATTGTAAATACGTCATGCCAAAACAAATGCTTTTGTATATTTACTAATGAAAAGGTGAGCGATGGATAATCGTTTTGTAAACGTTCTTCTGATCTGTAGACAAGGTACGTTAGACAAACTTGTGTCGTCATCACAGACAGTGTCGGAGATGAAAAGTACATAAATCAAAAGCATAAGTTAGAAACAACAATCTCACAAAGTTAATCGTTTCTCTGTTTTACACCTGATCTCCCAATTAAACATCGCGAGTTATGTGTCCGTGTTCTGGTAATGTTAACAAGGGCAGAAGCGTGTTTAGTTCGGCTATCAGAGGGGAGCGTACCGTTAACTTGTCTTTGAAGAATAGATACAAGACAACACGTAATGTTTGTTGGATTAAAGACACTGACCTCTCTGCTGCGACCACAACTTACCTGTAGAAACAGGTAAAAATCGTCTTAATTACCAAATATATTACCCCACGGAATGACTCTTCAGATGAAATTAGACATGTACAACTTGTAATGTCTGTTCAACTTTATAGCTCTGACCACAAACAGGTAAAATAATTGCCAAATATATACGGTGTTTTACCCGCAGAATGAGGACATCAATTGGATTAGACAAATGTGTTTGTGTAGATTAAATTACAGCATTGTGTTTATATACATTAAATAAGATTTACATGTTTGCCTATGTTACAGCTATAGGGACAGTTACGTATCTGCTGGAGAGCAATACACTTTACTAATATCTTATTGTTGTAAAAGCTCTACCAGGTAGAACACTAAACTCAATCTCCCCTGAAACACATTTGAACTCTTCCAATTCAAAGGCTGGAATAGTTCATTATGAAATTTCAGGGGTGAGTGAGTTAATAGACTAATTACCCACTGTCAGGTAGAATTATATTACAACTTTGTTACTCAATCTACAGGTGACACAGCCAGGTTTATATCTACACATATAGTCAGTGAGAGTTCAAATATTATTGCCAAGAGATAAGCTTTCGCAGATGAAAATCTGTAAGGTGGTCGGCTCACCTTTGAGAACTAATGAGTCCGCTGTACCAACGTTAAGACATATTGTCAATAGCGAAGTCGGCAGAACATAATTTTTTTTAATACCAATGTTAGCTATTTATTGCGCTATCGTTACAGAGAGTGAAGCCTGCACAGTGAAATGTTTGTAAAAAAGTGGGTTTTATTACTGATGTCAGGTAGATATGGCCAGAACCTACAGGTAGGACACGTAATCCATCCCAAGTTACCTGTCTGTTACTTTTACTTGGATGAACACATGATGTAATTGGGGACATGTTAACTGTTGTAGCTGGTCTAGCTGTACTTGTTTTACGCCTGGGCTCTCTTGTTCTGTCCCAAACCTTCACTCTAGACCTACTGGTGATACAAGTTAACGCGACAGGTAAAAATCTTCCTCATTCTAACCACAACTGAGAGCAACAACCTCCTAAAATTTCCATCAGAACGACAAATTGCTCTCTGCTAAAGAAAATGCTAAAACAGATCACCATTAGCTACAGTTGAAGGTTATAATTACTCCCTACAACGAGGTGAACACCTGCCTTATTCTCCCATAAACAACAGGTAAGCATCTACCTTGAAATATTCCTCCATGAATGGCAGGTAAACATATTCTATATTCTGCCGAATTATTTCCACTGCTGATTACAGTAACAACCTGCCCAATATCTACAGCAAATTGCAGATAAAAATCTACCAAAATCTCCGCCTGATATTTGCGTCAGGGCATTATTCATAAGATAAACATGCCAACAAATGCCTGTTGATTATTTTTATACGGAGCAGATATCAAAATCGTAAACTTCGTAAATATATGGGTGTGTATAGCAACTGTAGTTTACCTTACCCAGTTTCTACAATATCACTGTAGGAACAAAATCTTCAACAAAAATTGAGAAACGTTTTCCAATTTTGCATTAAATCTAATTTGACACATAACAGAGATATCATATATCCTTTTAAAAATCTATTAACATTTTTTGTAATGGTTTAAGTTCTACATGAGTGACTTTGGCCTATATATATATTTTTATAAAAACCGCAACGGAAACAAGCTTATTTGTAGATGTTGAGACACACAAACAGTTTCCTGTCGTTTTGCCTGTATTCAATCACATTCGACACCACTTACACCAACTTGATGATTGTAAAATAAAACTACAAAAACGCCCACACAAAACCGCCATCAGTTGCGGCAGATATAGGACACGTGGTGACAGGATGCAGGGACCGTGACAGAGAAAATATAAACAAATCTTTGCCAGGACAAGTAGCAGGATGTTCCATGTTGTGTAAGCTAAGAAAACCTTTTAATAGTCTCGAGGCACCTCTGAAAGATTACAGCAAAGAATTATCTCAATGTTTTCTTACATGGTTCTAAAGTTGGAGATTTTTCTTTTGGCAAAGAAATCTTACAAGGAAAATCTTACAGAAATCTAATGAAGTCAGAAAATCTGACTTGTCAATTTAACTCATTCAACCCTGAAATTTCACAATGAACTATTCCAACATTTGGAATTGGAAGAGTTCAAATGTGTCTTCAGGGATGAATGAGTTGAAGTAGAATCCATGTACCACAAACAAAGGATGAGTAATCTGTCCAAAAAAGCTGACCAGGCTTGTGGTCAAGGGTCACACTCGGTCACTCCACTGACACACTTCTGACCACATGTTGTCAAGGTATACCTTATACCTGCAAATTTATCTGTGGTCAAGCACAGGGCTGACCGCCACTATAAATAAGGCCTGTGATTCACTCTTTTATGGTCAGGAGGCTTGTTCTGGCCAGGAAACGATGACAAAGGCCTGATAATGTCCATAATTATGATGTAGCTCGTCCTAACATTAGGAACACGACCTGGACAAATCATCATGTTCACATGTCACCCTTCATATTTCTGATGAATGACAATATGGGTAATTCTTATGAATGAAGTCATAGGCCTTTCTTTCTAACATGATATTTTTTGAAAGAAAAAAAATTGTGAATCAATTTGTCACAAGCATGTTTATTTCTTTTACATCCTATTACAACTTTTTGTATATTTTAAAAGAAACCTCTCACGTCTACTTTTTTAGGTGTTTCAAATTGATGACCGGATGGCCATCATTACCTGTTCACTCATGTGTGACCAAAGGTAACGCAATTTGACAGGTGTGAACAGGTGAAAAGCAAGGACCAAAAGCTGTAAAACCAATATTTAGCAACTTTTTAAACTGAGAGAAGGTCAGAATAACTTCTTGATCAAGACACTGACAAAACACAGCACTGATTATACAAGTAGAGCAGGAAATATCCCATAATTAACAATACAGATGAACAAATAATGCTAAAACCAGGGTTAATTCTGAAATAACCTTTAGAAATGCTTCGTTATATAACACCTGAGTACTTCCTTCGTTAGACCCTCAGGTATGCTAATCAGCTATTTTCCATATAAATAATATGTTTTTCTGTCTAATGTAAACTTGGACCCCCTGACAAAGTGATTCTTGTTTCAACCTTTCCTTGTTACATCATCACTGCTAATGGTTACAGTGTCTCAGGAGTAGCTCTATGAACAGTGATGAACGTGAATTGTTGCGGACATTAAGAGATAGGGTGGTGCCGAACTACATCCCACTGGCACCATCGTCAATTTATCTTCATCTTGTTGCTAAGCTCCATGTAAGTGATATGAAGTTCTAACACAACCAACCAGAAAAAAATTCTTTAAAATCAAATGTACAAACTTCAGAATGTACTATACAGTTCACCTTACGAGAAACAATGAGAAACATACTCAGAAACAGTTACCATCTTCAGTTCAATAAAGACAGGACAATTTTGTCTTAATTATTCATATAGGTAAAATAGCATATCAGGAATTTGTATTTAATGTTTCTGCATTCATTGGAGACAATAAATATGAAAACATAAATCCATAGATATTTCACCAAACCCACCCCAGAAATTGCCAGGTAAGAGATTTGCGGTAATATCAGAAATTT